GGCTACCACCACTGACTGCTCTGACCAGGATCACAACAGAGGGTTCTGTCCACAGCTACCAAGGCCTCCACCGGACTGAGTCCAGTACAGCTAGATGGTGCCCGGCTACCACCACTCACTGCTGTGACCAGGATCACAACAGAGGGTTCTGGACAGAGCTGGAGAAGGATGTAGAACATAATTCTAACTAACAAGAAAAAAGGCCAGATTTACTGGCCTAAAGGAAACTGGAGAAACCCCGAGAGTATGGCCCCCAGACACCCTTTTAGCTTATTGGTGAAGTTATCTCCGAGGTTCACCATTCAGCCTGGGAGTGGACAGCCCCGTAAAACCAAATGAGATTAACGAGGTACAGTAGTCCAGTGACAAGGGCCAGAAGGCAGAAGGGGACAAGGAAGCTGGTGATAGGGAACCCAAGGTTGAGTAAGCATATTGTTGAAGTGTTGTGAGATTGTTAACCATTGTCATAGGGCAACATTTGTGGTAACTGTTAAATGAGAAACTATTTTGTTCTGTAAGCCTTCATTTTAAGTGAGAACAACAGCACAATTGGAAGAGCATAGTCAATGTCACTGAACCGTGCATGTAGAAATTTTTGAAATGGTGTATCTTTGGCTATGTGTATTTTCACCAGAAAAAAGGTTGAGAAGTTAGAGGGTTGACATGTTGTGGGATTGTCAACCAATGTCATAAAACAATATGTGTACTATTGTTTCATGAGAAACTATTTGTTCTGTAAGCCTTCACCTGAAGTACAATAAAAAACAACAACAACAAAAAAACAAAAAACAAAGGCAAGGCAAGAGGGACCCCTAAAGAACTCTGTGCTGAAGCAGACCCTACAAGTGTGCCTCTGGGCTCAGGTCTCTTTTCTAACCCCCGACTGAGGTCCCTAAAGCACAAGAGCTAGCAGGCAGGCGCAAAGCCCTGGCCGGAGCCGCCCGGGGTCCAGAGCCGGGACCCCTCGCGGTGGCAGCGCCCCCTCCCGGCCAGGCCCAGGCTGTACTGAGCTCGGGTCCTTCGCACTGCGAAGAGGTGGCCCGTCTGCGGGCCGGGGCGGGGACTCGAGGCCTCCAGCGCCCCGGCGCGGTGCGCAAGCAACGGGGCGGAGTCACAGCAGCCCAGGGGCGGGCGATGCCAGGTGCTGGACTTCCCGTTACAGCTTGCCGAGCTCTTTCCTCCGCGTATCGGCGCCGCCCATGGCCGAGGTGCGCGAACCCGACGCCGGGGCCGCGAATGGCACAGCAGCCCGAGCCCTGGAGACGCCTGCTTGGGAGGCCCCGGAGGACGCGTGCCCCCAGGTAAGGCGCCGCCCGCAGGCGCGAGGGGTGCGGGCACAGCGGGGAGGGATGGGATGGAGGGGGGAGGCGAGGCCGCCTTTTTTTTTTTTTTTTTCCTGACTGATTTGCAGCGAGGGCGGAGAGTTCCATAGATTTAAGTTAAAAAGCACATTCTTCAGAATAGCCGGAGCCCCTACCTCCATTTCTGCAGCAACGGGAAAGTTCCGTTGTTTCGCCGTGGCCCTAGGTATCGCCCATGCCTCTGTTTGTTTTCTTTGAGGTTAAAAAAACAAACAGAAGGAACCTCTCACCTTCTAGAGGCCGCAGCAGGGCTCTCCGTGCAGGGGCGTGTTAATACACGCTTGTTTTTAAAGTGAGCTGAGCCCGGCCCCTGAGTTCAGGCTGCCCTCTCACACCCAAGGATGAGACGCGCAGAGGAGAGGCCCTGTGCGCCCTAAGGAGCCGGGACCTCGGGCCAGACTCCGAGGCTGGTCGGCTCCGGGTGGACCGGAGCTCACGGTACCTGTGTTGTTGCATCTCACGTCCTGCCCTCTGACAATTGCTTCCTGAAGTTTTCTCTGTTCCTCTTTAGCCTGGAAGTTACGAGATCCGACATTATGGACCAGCCAAGTGGGTCAGCACGTCCGTGGAATCTATGGACTGGGATTCAGCCCTCCAGACTGGCTTTACAAAACTGAACAGCTATTTTGAAGGCAAAAACGAGAAAGGTAAAAGTCATTTTACCTTGTAATTAGGTATACTGTGGTTGAGTCCCCTGGTTTATTAATGAGTCTTAGCTTATTAAAGAAATATCCTTACTAATAGAAAAATAACCAGATTTGTCAAAGGCTGAATGTTTCAAAACATGGACTCTCCTGAGGACCCTTAGCTCCGGCTAGAGGAGGATAGTACTGGGTAGTACTTCAGCCTCTATTCTTCTTCTCTGTGTTTCTGCTAGATGAATTTGGGCTCTGGGTAACTTTGAGTCCTTTTTATTGGCTAATGCTCTGAGATAATTTGGTGACTGAGGCGGGAGATCGGGAGTCTCAAAATACATGTTCCGGTTCGGCTCTGCTGTTATTTATATTTGAACGGGTGACTTAGCTTATGGGACTTTTAGTTTCTGAATCATTAAAAAAAACTAAGAGACTAGACCATGTGACCTCTAATTTCCCTTCTGTCCCTAAAACTGTAGAATCTATTAACAAAAAATAGCACTAAAAGTGTTTGATGGGATCAGTGGATAATTGATAAATATTGGCCTTTTTTTTAAAGGTGAAAATTTTCTTAAAGTAAATAATTACATCAATAATGTAAAGTAAATTAAGAAAGTCAGGTCAAGGAACAGGAGAAAAGTGGGGTGCAGAACTCACATTCTAATAAAAAGACCAGACTTAATGGTCTGCCTGAGACTGGAGGAACCCTGGAAGACATGGCCCCCAGACTCTCTGTTAGCCCAGAACTGAAACCATTCCTGAAGCCAACTCTTTAGACAGAGATTAGACTGGACTGTGGGACATAAAATGATACTCGTGAAGAGTGTGCTTCTTAGCTCAAGTAGCTACATGAGACTAAATGGGCAGCTCCTGTCATGAGGCCAGATGAGAAGGCAGAAAAGGACAGGAGCTGGTTGAATGGACATGGGAAATCCGGGGTGGAAACTTGTATGAGAAACTGATGTGAACTGTAAACTTTCACTTAAAGCTCAATTAAAAAAAAGTCAGATCAAAAAATAGATTAAATGAAAGTAGTCATAAATACACTAAATATGTTTTCATTTTCTCCCTTGTATTTAAATATATGTTTTTATGACAGAGATGAAAATAAAGATGACAGCTCCAGTGACAAGCTACGTGGAGCCAGGTTCAGGCCCTTTTAGTGAGTCTACCATTACCATCTCCCTGTATATCCCCTCTCAACAGCAATCTGATCCACCCAGGCCTTCAGAGTCCGATGTCTTCATTGAAGACAGAGCTGAAATGACTGTGTTTGTACGGTAAGTGTAGATAATTTATAGCCCTGCTGACTGCTAGTTTTACTTGTGTGCACTCACAGTTTAGCTCCTCTGCAATTTCAGCAGGCTTTTCACCCTTCCATAAACACAGTTCTAATGCATTTTGCGGTGGTTTCCTACTGGCTTACCATATTTTTATGCCAATAACGCACGCCTCCTATGTTTATTTACCAACTGTTTCCTCCCCCCGCAAGGTATTTTCATAAGCGCCGCTATGCCAATTTTTTTTTTACATGTTGCTGTAAAAAAATAGCATGCTTACAGAAATACCTCACAGGGGGAGGGTGTGGTTGGCAAACAAATGTAGAAGGCACGTGTTATTGGTGTAAAAATAACAGTAGTTTTATATGTTACTGAGATATGTCACAAGATATAATCAATTGATTTAATGAAAAATATATTGAGTACCTCTACCTGTAAGACATCATCAAATTATACAAAACAAAAATAAAACCAAACAACAACATAAGACTGTCTTTACTTGCCATCTAGTTAGACCTAAACAAAAATGCATTAAAACACAGGACGTGATATTAGTTGCATATTGGATCCTATCTTCTCTTTATTACTGCTTTCTCTTCTTCTCTTCACCACCAGCCTGTTAAGCTAACTCTGTTTCCTCAAATCCCCATGTACTCCTCAAACCACCGCAAGCTGGTACAATCCCCACTATCTCCTTGGAAACACTCCTGCCACCCTCAGCAGTGCCCTTCCATTTGCCACATACGATTTCAGTTCTCTCCTGTGTGACCCCTGCAGCATTTGAGTGTTGACCATTGTCTTTCCTTGATCCTTGTTCATTCTCTAACTTTCAGAATGTCACTCTCTTGTCTTTCTTCTCTTCCTGTTTCTTTCTCTCCATGGGCTCCTCCTTCAACTCCCAAACTTTCTCTATCCTTCCAGTGCCTGTCTCAGTAAAGGGCCTCATCAGCTGGACGGCTTCCCCAGAAGGAACGTCATGGTTATCATCAACACCCTTTCCCCTGACAACTGGTCCCCAGATACTGCCTATTCTCTGAAATGATTCGTGATTCTGTTCCCTTTTCTCCATCCCCATTGTTATTTCTTAAGGTCCTCATCTCATAGGGACCACATTTAAGTCATCTGTGTATAACCCAGTGCTGAGGCTGATACCTGACGCTCAGTAGATACTCAGATGTGTATTGATCTCAACTGATTGATTTCCACTGCAGTAGCCTCCTAATTGTTTTTGTTGTTGCTACCAGTCTTCTTTCTCCCCTCTTGCACACTGGAACCTGCCATCTTTCTTACAACAACATCAATCCCAACATGTTACACCATTTAAAGATCTCTGCTGGCTTCCTGTTGCTTCCAGGATGAACTTCAGATTGTTCACATGGTACACAATGCCCATTGTGTGGTCCAACACAGCAACCCCCTCACCTCCTGTAGTTTTGCAGTGACCTTCTCATCCTTCACTGAACATGCCATGTTCTTCCACATCTCTTTACCTTTGACCCCAGGCAAGTTACTCAAATTTTCCTTGTTCACATCTCTTGATGTCTAAAATGTACAATATCATACCAGTACCAGTTGCCATCAAGTCAGTCCAATTCATGGTGACCCTATGTGTGCAGAGTAGAAGTGTACTCCATAGGGTTTTCAAGGCTGTGACCTTTCAAAAGCAGATCACCAGGCCTTTCTTCCATAGTGCCTCTGAGTGGGTTCGAACCACCAGTCTTTTGGTGAGTAGTCAAGCACTTAACTGTTTGTGCCACCCAAGGACTCTTGTATAATCACAGTACCTACGTATCTCGTAGGGTTGCTGTGAAGATCGAGTGAGTTATTTTATGTAAAATACTTAGAACATGCATATGATAGTACTACTAGCTCTAGCTCCCTCTTTCTTCTTCTCTTCCTGGAAAGCCCATTTTCATCCTTCAGGACTTAAATCAAATGACACCTTCTCTGTGGTGTCTTCCTCAATTGCTTCAGTCAGACAGCCACTCCGTCTGCTGTGCCCTTCCTCCTATTATTATCTAAATAACCTATTTATAGACTGTATGTTCCTCAAGAGTAGAAGGGTATATTATTACATGCATATCCTCCAGCTCCAGCTTGGCAGGCTCTCGGTGGGGCTCAGTACATGTTTGTGTGCTGGATAAAGTAATTGCTTCATCATTGTAGAACAACACGTATTCAGAGAACAAATAATTTCTTATTGGGGTCCAAGATTTGATTTCTAGGAAGAAGTGGTTGTTATTAGGTGCCATCAAGCCGGTTCCGACTTGTAGCAACCCTGTGTACAATAGAACGGAACACTGCCTGATCCTGTGCCATCCTAACCATCGTTGCTGTGCTTGAGCCCATTGTTGCAACCACCGTGTCAGTCCATCTTGTTGAGAGTCTTCCTCTTTTTTGCTGACCTTCTACTTTACCAAGCATGATGTCCTTCTCCAGGGACTGATCCCTCCTGATAACATGTCCAAAGTATATGAGACATAGTCTTGCCATCTTTGCTTCTAAGGAGCATTCTGGTTGTACTTCTTCCAAGACAGATTTGTTCGTTCTTTTTTGGCAGTTTATGGTATATTCAATATTCTTCTCCAACATCGTAATTCAAAGGCGTCAGTTCTTCTTTGGTGTTCCTTTCGCATGGATGTGAGGCGATTGAAAACACCATGGCTTGGGTCAGGCGCACCTTAGTCTTCAAGGTGACATCTTTGCTTTTTAACCCAGGAAGAGGTTGGACCTGAAAATAAATTTCCTTTAGGTAGAATGCACTCTTGTTGTTAGGTGCCATCGAGTCAGTTCCGACTCATAGTGACCCTGTGTACAACAGAGAACACTGCCTGGTCCTGTGTCATCCTCACAATCACTGCTACGCCCATCGTTGCAGCCACTGTGGCAGTCCAGCTCATTGAAGGTCTTCCTCTTTTTCACTGACCCTCTACTTTACCAAGCATGATGTCCTTCTCCAGGGACTGGTCCCTCCTGTTAACATGTCCAAAGTACATGAGACAAAGTCTTACCATCCTCGCTTCTAAGGAGCATTCTGGCTGTACTTCTAGAATGTATTAAAAGATGACTGTTCATAAGGAAATAAATAATAAATTTAAGAATCAAAATGTTTCTTAACACAAGGTCCAGAATTGTAGTCAATCAACACGATAAAAATTAAAGAACAGTTTTATCAACTCACCTGCAGTGTTTTATTCTACATACATGTGCATACATATATTCATACACTTACTCAACAAGGATTTGAAGCGCACTGCATGTCAGCAGTCCCTGGATGTTGTAAACAGTTAAATGTTCTGCTGCCAACCAAAAAGTTGGAGGTTTGAGTCCATCCAGAGGTGCCTTGGAGGAAAGGCCTGGTGATCTACTTCCAGAAAATTAGACATTGAAAACCCTATGAAGCACGGTTCTGTTGATAAACATGGCATTGCCATGAGTCAGAATTGACTCGATGGCAACTTTTTTTTTTTTTTTTTTGCATGCCAGGAATGATTCTAGGTGTTAGGTAGATATCATTAAATAAATTGGACATGGTTTGTACCCTTGAGTGCCTACATCTTATTTGAAGCATAAGGTTGGACTGATCTTTTTCACTGGCACATAGATAATAAAACGTATACTACAGAAAGAAAATTAGGAATATTTTTATTTCTAAGTGTTTTTTTTAACATTAGCTAGTGTTTATTTCACCATTGTTTTCACTGATTCAGGAGGCATTTTTATCTTTTTGATAGAGACTATTGAGTTAGCAATTCTGTGGATGAACTTGTGTGCAAACTCCATGAAGAAAGAGAACAGATCCATTTCCAACAACATTGTTTGCCCAGTAAATGGCACAGGTCTGGCATGTGATAAGCACTCTGAGTGTTTCTTATTCTTAACCTTCAAAATCAAAATCATTGTGTTTACATGTCAGCAACTCAGCTCATCAGTGTCTTGTCATGATTTAATCTCAGGGTATTTTTTTACATACTTTGAAATCTGTGCTTAAACTTTCATTATTTTTTTTTAAGTCTTTTAACTGTCCTTTTTCCCCCATTCCCATAGCAGCCTCCTGACTGGCTCCTGCATTTGGCCTATCCCCTACAATTTATTCTCCATCTACCTATGTTCTTTCCAGATCTGATCAAGTTACTTTTCTGCTCAACATCTTTCAGAATAATCTCAAAAGGCCTTAGGATGATATACAAGATTCTTCCATCCGGCTCTGACTCATCTTTTTGACCTCATTTTATACCTCACTGTGAAGATGCTTTGTGTCTTTGGGTATCTGTTTCTTTTTTTATTGTCTTCCCTCTGCTGGAGATTCATTCTCTTTCCAGCAAAGCCATCCTCCTTTTCAGGCCCAACTCAGATGATACCCCTTGCCTCTGATTTAATCCTATTTTCAGTGTTCCGGTAGCACTTTGATCCTATCTCTGTAAAAATCCTTCTCAGGCTGTGTGGAGAGCTGCCAAAATGTTCATCTCTTCCATTCGACTATAAATTCATCAAGGTCAAAACTATATCATATTCCTGTGTAATGTAGTGCCTACCCTTTTCCCAAGAAGAAGAAAGGGGAAATGTTTACTAGAAAACCAAGAGTCTGGAAGGGGGCTTTAATTGTATTAAAGTGGCTTTTCTGACCATCAGCATCGACATCAGCTGGGAGCCTGTAAGAAAAGCAGACTCTCAGGCCCTACCACAGACCTTGTGAATCTGCATTTTAGCAAGATCCTGGGTGATTTGTATGCACATTAGAGTTTGAGAAGCACGGGATTAGAGCACCTGAGATGGTGTCAGTTTCAAATCCTCCTGTCAACAGATGGAACATATGCCCCTTGTGGGGTCTGCTCCGTGTATCTGAGGTCACATGGAGACTGGGAACAGAGGAAGGGAGTGATCAGTTCAGCCGCTGAAAGGGCAGAGAGGGGTAGCTTTGAAGTTTGCATAGTAGCAGGTCCTGCCTTTCTTTCCAGACTGACATTAGCAGTAGTATTAAGATGACTCATGGTTATTCACTTTCTCCTTTGTAGGTCTTTCGATGGATTCTCTAGTGCCCAAAAGAATCAAGAACAGCTTTTGACATTAGCAAACATTTTGAGGGAAGAAGGAAAAGTTTTCGATGAAAAAGTTTACTACACTGCAGGCTACAATAGTCCTTTTAAATTGCTTAATAGAAATAATGAAGTGTGGTTGATTCAGAAAAATGAACTCTCCAAAGAAAATGAATGAGAGAATGAAGAAAGTTCCATTGCCAGGGGCAAAACTTCTGTTTAATATAGACATCAACACTACCTATAAGTGTGTGTCTGCTGTCTTCTACCTGAGCATACTACTATGAATTAAGCTTATTTCCAATGTGCCTTTTTTAATGCTTGGAGCTTTCTCTAGATACACAGGATAACGGGACAATATTCTATAATATGTGTATCAGTCATCTTTATTTCTGTGAGGATCCAGGGAAATATGTTGCTTCCCCCTTCTTCATCACAATTGTGTTGTCTTTTTTCTACTTGGATTTGTGGCATTTGGATGTTATCCCTCCAGATACTATCAATAAAAATTTTAAAGATTTATCCTGTGTGGAACCATTAGGCTGTCAGGTCTGGAGAAGTGAAGTTCAGTTGGGCAGAAAATTCAAATTGTCTTTTTTGACTGTCACTGTTACATTCTCTGCTTGAACCTTCTTCTCCACCCTTCCTGACTGCTCCCACCACACAGGACAACTCTCGCAGTACCCAGAAGTGTTGATAATATTCTCTGATGAAGAATAAGTTTTTGAAGTTAGGGATTCCCTATCCTATTGTGACACTTAATAAAGCCATGTTTCTTTGAAGAATTGCATACAAACATATAATATTAAAATTCACTTGAATTCACACAATGTAGTATTTCTAAAGGTCGTATAAAAATGATTAGTTATTCAAAGAGTGGGTTGCTGCAAAATCAAGGTTAGAAATTCTCACCTACTTGTGTTCAAAAATGCTCATCCTGGAGAAGATAAAGTCACATTCAGACACCTGAGAACCTGTCATGGGGAAGGACATTAGCTTTGCTGTGGGTATCTGGAGGATGATGGTTTTAGGAGTGGTGGAGAAAAGCAGGTTGGAGCTCTAACTTTCTGACAGTTAAAGCTGTCTGAGAAAGACACTGCTTCCAGTTCCCTCCTTGTCTGTGTTTAAGTAGGGAGCGCGCAATCACGTATCTGGAGAGAATCACTTTCATAGGATTTGAGCATTCAGTGGAAGAGAGGATGGGCCAGATAATACCTAAACATCTCTTCAACCCTGAGATTATCATGATAACTCTTAAATTTAATTTCCTTAACGTGGGGACAATAGACCCATATAAACCCAGTGCTGTCGAATCAATTCCAACTCATAGCGACCCTATTAGAGTTGAACTGCCCCATAGGGTTTCCAAGGCTGTAAATCATTCTCCCTCAGAGTGGGCTGGTAGGTTCAAACCAACTGACCTTTCTGTTAGCAGCCTTAACCACCGTACTACCAGGGCTCCTCTATAGACCAATAATGGTTTCCATAGCTAATGTTTATGGCTTGCCTTCTAGGTGTACTGTTCTAAATACTTCACCTGAACTACCACATTCAACCCTGATAACGACCCTGTGAGCCACATTTTATCATCTCCATTTTACCGATGAGGAAATTGAGGCACAGAGATGTTAGGTAACTTGCCCTAGATCAAACTGTAAGCAGAGAGGCTGACGGGAGCCCAGGCAGTCAGACTCCAGGACCCATGCTGTTAACTGCTACACCACACACACAGACGGCTATTCAAGAGTGCAGCTTTCTAAGGCCATTAGTGGGCTAGGCCTGTATGGTGGTGTTCTTCGTGTATATAATTAACATGATTATGACCTCATTGTTACCTTTCAGACTGTAATTTTTGGTACAAAACAAGCTAGATTTCTGATTTTAAAATTATATGGATATAAAAGTTTATAATCCACGCAGTTATTTCCCAAAGATACTGTGCTTGCATTGATCATTGAATTTACTGATTCCTTTCATTTTTATGCTTGCCAAAAAGAAATTACATTTCTTTTATAGCAAATTTATCATTATTAACTAGAGAACACTTTCTAGCCCTCCAACTGATGAATGTCCACAATACTAATAACCTCCACTGTTATAAGGTAAATATTCTTAACATTTACTCTATAATCACATATAAAATGTGTATTGCTTATGCAATAAGTTCAACTTTAAATGATAGAAGCATATTTCTAATGATGAAGATTCAGTTGTAATCTGAAACAAGTTCAATAAAAAACTGATTTTGTACTATTCACATTCAGGATATCCTTTTTCCCTCCTCTTCCTTAAGTCACAAACTAAAACATTTTTTTTCAGCCCTAAATTGATCAATCCAAAAACATTTATCACAGCAGTGAGTCAGTTATTTTAATTATGTGCATGACACTGATCATAAAATATCCCTTATTTTAACATTTATTAATTAATTTTTTCTTATCTGCAGGAAATGCATGTCTTGACTATTTTTTAAAGCTAAACCTTCCACTTGTTCTATTGGTCTAATTTTTCTCAAAGAACCTTGCTCTATCAAATAACCCCTTTCCTCTCATCTTTGGTCTGTCTCTCTGTACATACTCCCATTATTCTGTTTACCAACGGGTTCAGATTTTGCCTGTTCTCCCTACCCAACCCCCACCCCCCAAAAAAGAAAAAACAACCCATTCCCCTCTAGGCCCTTATGTAGGGCAGTAATTCCCATCACTCTCTTACCTTGATTACCACATTTCTCTGGAAAGAGTTTTCCACCAGCTTCCTTGGAACTGTAGGTTTTGCAGGGATACCTCAGGAACCATGAGAGGGAAGGAAGGTGAACAGCCCCCACCCACAGAGCTACTCACATTTGTTTATGTTAATTTTCACGAGATTGTATGTTTTCTTAAGAAGCCTGAAAACAATGCATTTAAACTTAGTACATTCTTCATTCCTCTCTCGTCATCACTTTGTTGTATTGTTAGCTGTCGTTCAGTTTGTCCTCAACTCATGGCTACCCCATGCTCAATGGAGCAGACCATTGTGACCCATGGGCTTTTCATTGGCTGATTTTTCAAAAGCAAATTGTCATGTCTTTCTTCCTAGTCTGTCTTAGCCTGGAAGCTCCACTGAAACGTGTCCTGCATCATAGCAAGACACAAGCGTCCACTGACAGATGGGTGGTGACTGTGCATGAGGTACCTTGGCTGGAAATCAAACCTGGCTCTCCCACATGGGAGGCAAGAATTCTACTACTGAACCACCGTTGTCCCTTGTCATTGCTTAACCCTTAAAAACCCTGTGTTCCCCAACTAACATTCCACTGAAATGTTATTAATTTTCATTCATTCGTAAATAAGTCACTGTGGAGTCCCCACTGTGTTCCAGGCACACTAGTGGCAGGGATGTGGTGGTGAGCAAAAATGCTCCCAAAGCCCCTTATCAGTGACCTCCTAATTACTAAATCCAACAATGTCTTTCAGTCTTCTACTTGCTCCACCTTTCTGCTGAGAGTATAGCAGTGAACGTGAGACAAGGTCCCCGTCCTCATGGAGTTTATGTTCTAGAGAGTGAGAGCTCAAATGCAAATACAATTAAATTGTGGTAAGTGCTATCGAGAAGTGAAATAGGGCAATAGGATAGTGTGACTTGTTAGGGTGCAGTATACTTCACATGGGATGGTCAGGGAAGGCCGCTCTGAGGAAGAGACATTTGAGACTTGAATGATGAGAGGGACAAATAGCTGCATGTACTGCTTGCTAAGCAAGGAGAGCTACGCTTGTAGAACATGGTCTTTCTGAACAAAGAAAACTGCTGATCTTATATGGGTTTTAGGAAACACAGAGTTGAAGGATTAGTGGACTTCCAGAAGCATTTAGGGATTGACTGAGCTCTCATTGTGGAAGTGTGGTTAACATTGTGAGGCTGTTGCTGATTGGCATGATTTAGAAGCTTGGTGGAGAAGTGAGGTTATTGATGCCAAGTTGTCATTGATTGGTTCTGGTAGTTACTTGTTACTGTGGTCAAAGAATGGTCATTTCTTTTCTAGAATCTGGAGTTATGGCAGACCATCATATGGAGATGTACTACTCAGATTCAACTTCAAGAGAGTTCTAGCTGCACAGCTGTGAGAGGAGTGGTTAGCTGGCAGTCTCCAGTGTTACTTTCTTCAAGGTATATCTCAGATTGCGAGATAAGAACACACTATTCTCAGGGAGTACCTGGCCAATGACCGGGCAAGGTGGTGGTAGCTGACTGCATGCTTTCTTTCAGGCAGCTTCCAGCCAGCCACTGAGCAGAGTGGTAGTGCAAGGACCTAGCCATTTCTGCCCAGCTTAGGACTCCAAATAAGCAGCTTTTGCTCTGGATCTCCCTGGTGGGCTGCCAGAGACTTAGATATGTACTGCAGTCTGATGGCTCCCCTGCCCAGTCCTGCCTTGCCTTTTTCCTTTCTGAGGTGTAACTTCACCAACACTTTTTTGAACTCTTAAACTCCATCTCAGTATCAAACTGGCACAATTGGTATCAGAGTGGTCCCAGAACATAGGTGATATGACTAGCCAGGTCACTCTCTGCCTGGCTGGTAATGAGGCCCCCATCCCTGGTGGGTAGGTGGTACACAGACAGCCCCTAGTGCAAGGAGGCTGTGTAATTTTAAAACTTTAGATGGAATGGTATAATGGTGGAGGGAAAAGCAATGGTTGGTGGATGACTCAGGTGTTTCAAATGTGGTGTGTGTGTGTGTGTCGGGGATGACAAATACAAGGATAATAGAACTGAATAGTTGTTACTAAGTTGTATTGATGTCCTGCAAGTAGATCATGAAAACCTGAGGTCAGTTAACAAAGAATTTAAAACTAAGTACGAGAGTCAGAGTCGCTTTGGTTTACTTGCCAAGAAGTCCTCATCTCACGCAGCAGGCAAGCAGGAAAAGCTGGAGGTCAAGCACAGGAGTTGATGGCAATAGTGGCTGAATGCCATGAATGCTCAACCAAACCAGGTCTGTTATGTGACAGTCAGGGACAAACCAGGTGCAATGATCTGATGAACATTTTTAAAAGCTTATTTTGTGGGAAGTTACTACTTAAGGGTATGGAGCCCTAGTGGCAAAATGGTTACACACTGGGCTGCAAAATGAAAGATTGGCTGTTCGAACCCACCCGTTGGCTCTATGGGAGAAAGATCTTGTGATCTGCTTTTGTAAAGATTATAGCCTAGGAAACCCTATGGGGCAGTTCTGCTCTGTCACATGGGGTCATTATGAGCCAGAATTGACTCGATGACACCTAACAACAGCATTGCTTAAGGTGAACTGAATTTTCTGCTAAGGGTGATGAATAAAATTTCAAAAAGGATAGTGATGATGGTTGCATAACATGGTGAATGGAATTAGTGTCACTGAATTGTACACATAAAAATGGTTGAAATGGCAAATGTTTTGTTATATATATTCTACTACAATTTTAAAAAAAGCTTATTTTGTATGCTGAGTGGAGAGTGGCTAAAGATGGCACAGTAAATGCAGGGAGACCAGTTGGGAGGCGTTTGCAGTAGTCTTTGAACCTAGGTGGTAGCAGTGGAACTTGTAACAAAGGATTGGATTTGAGATATATTTTGGCAGTATGTCTGACATGACTTATGGTTTATATGTGGGATGAAAAGAGGCCACAAGGACGACCCTAGATTTGGGGCCTGAGCAACTATGTGAATGGTAGTGCCATTTACTGGTATGGCAAAGATTTGGAGAGAAATAGAGTTTGCATATGAGTCAGAATTGACTCGACAGCAGTGGGTTTGGTTTTGGGTAGGAGCCCTGCTAGTGCAATGTCTAAGCACTTGGCTGCTAGCCAAAAGGTTGGTGGTTTGAACCCACCCAGCAGCTCCATAGGGAAAAAGACCTGGTGATCTGCTTCCATAAAGATTATAGCCACATGGGGTCTGTCACAGGGGATCGCTATCAGTTGGAATTGATAGCATCCAACAACAGGGTTTGGATATCTTTAGTTTGAAACATCTCTAAGTGCAGATTTTGAGTAGGCAGTTGGTATACTAACCTGGAGGTCATGGAGGAAGTCAAGGCAGGATATATTTGGGAGTTATCAGTATATGTTTAATGCTGTGGGACTGGATGAGGTCACCAAGGGAGAGAGTATAGCTTGAGAAATACCAAACCCTGTCACATCTCCTTAAAAACCTTCATTATTTCCCAATACTACAAAACAAAACCCAAATTCCTTGGGGTCTTATCCCAGGCCCTCTACATTCTTGCCCTAGACTACCTTTCATCTCACGTCCCAGTGTGTTTTTCTAGAGATAATCTATTTTAGCTACTTAAGCCCGCTGCCGTCGAGTCGATTCTGACTCATAGCGACCCTATAGAACAGAGTAGAACTGCCCCATAGGGTTTCCAAGGAGTGGCTGGTGGATTCCAGCTGCTGACCTTTTGGTTAGCAGCCATAGCACTTAACCACCGTGACACCAAGGCCCCAATTTTAGCTACTTAGCTGCCTCTAAACACTTTGTCTCTATGCCTTTGCTCTTGTTATCCTGTTTGGAATGCCTTTCTTCTGCCATCTTTCTCAGCTTAGTTAAATCCTCATCTGTAAAGTTTTAGCTGAGATCCACTGCAGCCAATCTCTACCCCATCTCTCTAGTCAGAAGCAATGGCATTCTCCTCTGAGAATTATCCCTCAACTGGTGAGTGAGTGAAAAGTGACTCACCCACTAGGTTTGGAGGTAAACAGCCCAAGGCTGGTGCAGCCCAAAGCTGGGGACTCTAGATGTTATGGATGGACTCAGCTCCTTTCTTCTCCGCCATCCTTAACATGTGACTTCTAGCCTCATTGATGCCTCAAAGGCTGTCAGATGGCTGTTCCTCCTCCAGCCTCCTATGCATTCTATGGTGGAAGAAGAGAAAAGAAGCCAAAAGAGAAGGGGATGACACCCACATAAGGAAAGGAACTTTCCTGGAAATTCTCAGACTACTGTCTAAGTTTCACTGGCCAAAACTGTGTTACATGGCCTTCTTGACTATAGAGGGAGGCTGTGAGATACAGTATTTTGATTGGGTTGTGTGTCAGGGATTCAGTTGTGTCCCCCCAAAAGATATGTTAAAGCCCTAACCCCTGGTACCTGTGATGTGACCTAGCTTGGAAATAGGGTCTTTGAAGAGGCTATCAGTTAAGTGATGGAATCAACTCAATGGCAGTGGTGTTGGTTTAGTTTATCTCTTAACATAAGGTCATACTGGAGTAGGGTGGGTCCTAATCCAATGAGTGGTGTCCTTGTAAAACAGAAGAGATATGGATAGAAGGAGAACATCCACTTACCACGGCAAGCCAAGGAATGCCAAGGGCTATCAGAAGAAACGGTCTTCCACTAGAGCCTTCAGAGAGAGGATGGCTCAACTGAGTCCCTGATTTCAAACTCCTAGCTTCCAGAACCCCCACATGTCTGCAGTTTGTCGTACTGTGGGTGCTTGCATATTGCTGTGATGCTGAAAGCTATGCCACTGGTATTCAGATAGCAGCAGGGTTACCCGTGGCGGACAGGTATCAGCTGAGCTTCCAGACTAAGACAGACTAGGAAGAAGGACCCAGCAGTCTACTTCTGAAAAGAATTAGCCAGTGAAAACCTTATGAATATAAGCAGAACATAGTCTGATATAGTGCCAGAAAAGGAGCCCCGCAGGTTGGAAGGCACTCAGAAGACGACTGGGGAAAAGCCGCCTCGTCAAAGTAGAGTCGACCTTAATGACGTGGATGGAGTCAAGCTTTCGGGACCTTCATTTGCTGATGTGGCACAGTCAAAATGAGAAGAAACAGAATACTGAATATACTATGGACTCCCCCGAAACAAACCTGTCTTGGAAGAAGTACAGCCGGAATATTCTTTAGAAGCGAGGATGGCAAGACTTCATCTCACGTACTTTGGACAATTAATCAGGAGGGACTAGTCCCTGGAGAAGGACATCATGCTTGGTAAAGTGGAGGGTCAGCAAAAAAGAGGCAGACCCTCAAATGAGGTGGACTGACACAGTGGCTACAACAGCGGGCTCAAGTATAACGATTGTGAGGATGGCACAGGACCGGGCAGTGTTTCTATTGTGCGTAGGGTTGCTGAGTCAGAATGGACTCAACAGCACCTAACGACACCAGGAAATTAATACAGTCACATTGCCACCCTGAACCAATTTCAGACGCCCCACTGGTAAAGGAGAATGTATGTTGGGTGGAATCCCAGCAGGGTGTGCCACAGAGCTGAGTGTTCTTCCTTTACATCTAGTCTGACACTAAGAACTACATTTTGCAGGACAGTTAATTATTTGTGTGTCTTTTTCACTAGGTTTGAAGCCCCTTAATGGTAGCTGATCCATAATTTTCTATCTTTGGAGTCCCTTGTCCTCACCTAGCACAGGGGAGGTATTTACTAAATGATATTTTTCATTGCTAAACAAACGACTACAGATTGCTTTAGCCATGGTTCTTTGAATAAAGGTGAGCCTATGTGGAAGGTAGTTTAGAGTAGCTCACTGAAAGAAACAATACTACAGTAACTGAATAGCTTATTATAGGAAAAAGGACCTCAAGAATCAGGTTCATGTTTTTCTGAAGGACCCTTCCCACCCCCACCCCCAACCATATTCTAATATCTTCCAAAGTAAATTATCTTGTTTGCACATTTAATGATGGAACCTCAGCAACATAAACAATTACTCACATGTAGGCTGAAAAAACATTGAGCCAAACCAAGAAAACCATTCCAGTGCTTCACCTGTCTTCCTAGGATGCCCATCACCATCTGTGGGTGTGGAATGAGATCTAGACCCAGAAGTAACTCCCTTTTTTCCTTTATCATTGTGATTTCCCAAAAATTATACCATCAACCCCACAGAAGATGCAATCACCATTTTCCATAAATAGTAGGACAGAAGTTGAGATGCTTTATGCTTTCCAACTGATACACCAAATGGTCACTGGTTTCTCTCCCAACTCTTAGAAAAGATAAGATGGAAATAATTAAGCTCTGGGATTTCTATTTATGATTCTTTGGCATTTAAATTCTCAGGGTATAAGACAGGATGTCGTCTACCTTTATCAGGTTTTTTTAATACAATATTGTCCACTAACAGAAGTGGGCTCTCCCAGAGGAATAAAATAATAAAGCTAAAGATAGCCTATGTTTCAGGGATGAGTCTAGACCCTTGTTTCCCTCTGTTTCATCCATGCCTGTGAAGAGTTCTCACTCTCTCCACATATCGCATCATCTGAACCATCAGTCAATATATGATTTGTATTTTATCCAGAAGTTCACAGGACATTGTTTAGGCCTGTTTTCCTGATCGTCCATTTCAAGTGCACCATCCAGTGTTGTTCTGTCTCCTCCGTGTGCCCCCACCTCCCACAGGCACCTTCCAGTCTTCACAGCGGTTCTACTTGTATCCAGCAAAGAACTCAACAATCCGGGCCAAGAAGACCTCTCATTCAAAACGCTTGTGACAAACAAAAAGAAATAAGTTTCCAATATTTTCTTGACAAGTGTTTTATTCAAAGCAAGTTTAAAGTGTAGTAATTTTTTTCTTAAAAAAAGGGGTGGGATATTTTATGGCATTTCATATTTAAAAAATCATAGCATTTTTCTAAAATTTAGAAGGTAAGATCCTTGTGCCCAATGTAGCAGACAATTGCTCCTAATGACAAAAAGCCTTTCTGCCTTTGGCTAAATGTCAGGTATTGTTTTCTAGTTGTGTGTGTGGGGGGGAAAGTTTTGTTTTGTTTTTCCGGAGAAAGGAAGGAGTCTTAATTCTTTAGGTTTGTTTTTTCCTCAAAGACCCTTCTAAAATGGGTATTTAAAGTTTTATTATATAAATCTTATGATGACATGAGCTGTGTAGTCCAGCTTTTAGATGATTATTTTCATACCAAAACAGACTGCAATTGGCAGCTGCCTTTTATTTAGGCAAAGAGTCACAGTATTGTCATCATAAAAAAAAAAAACCATACCCATTGCCGTTGAGTTGATTCCGACTCATAGCAACCCTATAGGACAGAGTAGAACTGCCCCATAGGGTTTCCAAGGAGCGGCTGATGGATTCAAACTGCTGACCTTTTGGTTAGTAGCCAGGCTCTTAACCACTGCGCCACCAGAGCTCCATTGTCATCATAGGTCCTTCTAAAGAAAACAAGAAGTGAGGGCTCTGCTTTTACTTAACTAACAAATAAAGGAGTCTAAGTGCAGGGAGGAATCCTGGGGTGGTACAAAAGGGTAAGTAAGGTGCTTAGCTGCTAACTGAAAGGTTGGAGGTTCAAGTCTACCCAGAGGCACTTCAGGTGATCTACTTCCAAAAAACTATGGAGCGCAGTTTTACTCTGACAAACATGGAGCTGCTATGAGTTGGAATCTTCTCAATGGCAATGGTTAACTGGATTAAGTACAGGAGAGCTGTGATGGTGTGGGGGGTCACAAGAATTTTACTTTAAAATAAATACATACATTTCTACCATGTTTAAAAGTTGAAATTCTAATTGGAGAAGATGAAAAGGTAAGGAGCAAACTCTATAAGTAATATAAAAACACACAAACCAAATGATGCAAAAAATCCTTTTAATCTAAAAACTCATTTCCCAGGGCTAATTAATAGCCAAGCCCTGCCAATTTTTATCAAGTTTATTTGACTAACAACAGCTATCCAGCATTTTCTTCAGAGTAAGATAATATGTAATAGATTTTGATAAACCCTTGTAAATTAGGACATGATACTGCAGGCAGTTAAAGGAAAAATAGCCACAACTTTTTTCTTTGGTGTAACCAAAAGGATATCCAAAAGTTAGCAAATGCTGACGTTTCAAGTGATAAGAAATTGCCAAATGGAAGTTTCAACTTGGTAAAAACAGTTGTAAAAGGAAAAGCTCCACCCACAGTTCTGTAGTGCAAGTTTTCAAATTTCATTTTGAAAAATAATTTTATTTCATAAGCAGGAAACACATTCCAGCAGTGTATCACGTACTCCGCTCCCCCTCTCTCGTCTCTTCCTCCCCCTGCATGTACACACCATCATTTCAGTTCTCAAAGAAGGTCTCAGCTGCTACTCAAGGAGGAAATTCATTTAAAAATTACCCACATCTCTAAAAATCAGGTTGAAAGTTGCGCGTATGTGGCTGCACAGCAGCAGGCACCAGTCCCAGCGTTGCCATTACCACATGTTATGTCATTTTTACAAAAAAGAAACAAAGTCTTTTTTCCCCAGAAAAAAGTACCTGAACCAGTTAGCCCCTTACCAACTTCTTTGTGTTAACCATGACGTGTCTCACCTCAAAAGCACTTGTGTATATACCCATGTGTTCTGGGCAGAAAGAACCAGCAACTCTACCACCTCTCTCTCAGGAGTGGTCCTCACCCTTCTTATGGAACCCACTAATTTCCATAAGCATAATACTTTTAAAGCAATTACCACCTAGTCCTTTACTCTAGCTGGCTTAACTCTTTCTTTTCCCTATTTCTGTACATGCTGCTTGTGAGTGTATTTTTTTTTTTAAATAAAAACCTTTTAAAAAATGCACACACTCACACATACACACATCTAGCATTTAGCAAAAAAATCTTCCCCAGGAAGCACTTCCAGAAGTTAAGCTTCTACTTTCTTTTAAGCCCCAGGGCAAGTGCCAAGTGAGTCTGAATACGCCCTCCCTTATTCTGCTGGGCTGGCCGGCTCAGGCCCACCGCACAAAGGCTGAGGGGCTCCAGGTCCAGCCAGTGACCGGTACCTAGCAGGGCTGCCGCGAGGGATGTATTGCTCATCTCCCCCAACAACACCCGGGAGAGTCAAATCCTTGGTCCTAACTCTCTTCCCGCAGAGGACCTCCACACTGTCCTAATGGATTCCTGCCCTCTGTGCGGGCCCTCCCGTCTGCAGGGTCAGCAGGAGCCTTTGCCCGCAGGGACGCGGCAGCCTCCTCGCCCCGGAGCAGGCTGCCCTCGTCCATGTCGCTCCTGGCCATTCCATCCAGCGAACCTCCCCTCGCAGCTCCCAGAGCCCTGCGAGCTCTGCTGTCCACAGGCTCCGCAGCCTCCTCGCCCCGGAGCAGGCTGCCCTCGTCCATGTCACTCCTGGCCATTCCATCCAGCGAACCTCCCCTCGCAGCTCCTAGAGCCCTGCGAGCTCTGCTGTCCACAGGCTCCACAGCTTCCCCTTCGCCCTCCGAGATGACGGTCATAGGGCTGCTCTGGATTCGGTTCCGCATGCTATACCTGCTGCTGGCGGCAGAGGGCGGCGTGCGACTGCGCCCGTACCTGGGACCAGAGAAAGACAGACTCCGAGGCATCAAGCCTTCGCTCTTGGCCCATTCCTCCTGGGCCCTTCGGTTCTTGCTTGGGGAACAGCTTGACGGGCTCTCAGGGGTGTCTGCAGAGGACTCCGACTTTGATCTGTGGAATCTAGGGTCTGTGTTCTTCAGCATTTCGGCGGCTGACATGCGGGCACTCGTATCTGAGCGACTCCCCTTTTTCAGCAGTAGCGCCTTGAAGTTGTCACTGCTGGTGCTGCTCTTCCGGACACTTCTCTGAATGGATCCCACCTGCTTCGGGGAGGTCAGGTTGGGAGCAGCACCGGTGGGGGTCACTGGGGGTGAGGGAGAATGGTTTCGGGAGTGATCCTCATCTGAATCTTTACGGCCAAGGACTTTCCTTTTGGACCTGAGATGTAAAACAACCATGAAGATAAAGGTTAATTCCCATCCGGCAGCCACAGTCAACCTACTTTTCTCCTCCTGCATATTCAAGTCACTATCAACTTAAGATTGACTTCTTTTTTTTTTTTTTAACATGGAAAATTTCAAACACATGCACAGAAAGAGTAGTTTATTGTATTACTATGTAAATCCATGACCCAGTTATGATAATCATTAACTTATGGGCTTAACTTATTCTTTCATCTCCACTTCCACTGGCTTATTTTGAAACCAATCTTCAGATAGCATATTAAATGTACTTCGGATAGGACATTTCCAAAGTTTTTAACAAATGCCATTTTTCATTTAACTCTCCTACCCTGAACTGCTGCTATATTGAACATTCTGAGCGAATTTCATGGTATTGACCATCTTCTCTTTCTCCTCCTTCTCTTGTTTGGTGCTAGCACCTGAACTGGCTGAACAGACAAGCCACCTCCCAGAACATACTAAAATATGCTCCCACCTCAGGTTCTAGAACAACTCTACGGCTTTGCATTCATTCTCATTCTGGAGCATGATATAAACCAGTCTTCCTGAGCTCTTACAAGACCATATGTCAACTTCTAGAAATCGAGTTTTCCGGAAAACAAGAATGAACCTTCTGTGCCAGGTCCTATTTCATGACTAACTTCAGAGAACCTTAAACTGATCAAGAAAATGTGAGGAGTAGGGTAGAGCATGAGAGAGGAGGGGCTTATCAGGGAAAGTAAAATGTTTCCTGTGGTTATTTCTTGCTCTCAGTCTCTAAGAAAGAGCCTCCCTATTCAATGTGCTTGCTACTGCTAGCAGAACAGAGAGATTAAAGCAGACGAGCCATGGCCCCTTGCTGGTCTCTTGATTTCAATAACTTAGTGAGCATGTAATTGCTTAGGTAACTGCAGGTGGACCTTGCTTTAAGGAAACTCAGTACAGTTAATGAAATAAAGATGTTCGTATGTATATCACTCTTCCTGCTGTAAAATTCTAGAATATCTTGCAAGGAAATCTGAGAGTATTTAAGAGCTGAAACCGAACACTGCCACCTTCTAGCTGTGTGACGTCAGACAAGTTACTCATCTGTGCTGCACCTCAGTTTTCACACTTGTAAAATGGGGATGATAATATCAGCCTCATGAGTTTGTGGGGATTAAATGAGATAAAGAACATGGCATCTGGAGTCACAGAAACACAGGAAAACCCACTGCTAAAGCTTCCTTGTTATGTGACCCTGGGAAAATTGAATTTTCTGATTCTGTTTGCTATCTGGAAAAAGGGAATCACAGTATATACCAAACAGTTTATAAGTAAAGAAAACAGCAATAATAGCTGTAAAGTGACAGGCATAGAGTCAGTGCTTAGTAAACTGAATGTCATTTAGGGAAATCTCATTTTTTCTTCCTGCCACCAGGCCAAGGCATGGATAGGTGCATGTTGGCTATCCCGAGCTCAGTGCCCCCAGGGTCTTCTCCCTGCTTCCAGAAAAAGATGAGCCACTAAAGCAGAGCGAAGGGAATGGTAAGGACCCAGTGCCGAGGCTGAAGGGTGGCCAGAACTGACGTGGTACCAGCAACGGACAGGCCTGGCACCCTTTGATACTGGAGAACCTGGCCTATGATCCTTTGGTTCGACAGTCCTGCTTAATAGTTGACAAAAGCAGCACATTGGTATAAGTTAATGACCAACTGACAAAAAACACAGAAATAATAAAATCTCAGAATTCTAGAGCTGGAAAGGACTTTAGAAATGGTCTAGTCCAACCACTTGGGGTTTCAGAGAAGGTTACTGAGGTCCAGAGGGTACAGTACCACAGCTTGCAAGAAAGAGAACTAGGATTTAATGGAGTATCTACTTATACCACATGGCCTCACAACTTTTACTGCTTTCTCCTCAAAAGCAGCTCTGCTCGTCTTATTCTTTCAAGATACTGGTTTGTGGTTTAATTTTTTACTTGGTTTTTAAATGGTGAGGGGGCTCTGAGAGCCATAAAATAAGCCACAGCTAGATTTCATCAAAGTGATGTAGTTTAGTTGTAGATTTAGAGTGATTACAAGACAGGGATTTTATAAGAGCACTGTTGTTTCTCAAGAGCAGAGACCTCTTAAAAGGAAAATTAATCTAAATATATAAATTTTATATGTATACACTACAAAAAAATGGCTATAAAAAGTGCTTAAACAGTTAACACTGTCTTAACTAATTACTTCAATAAATATAAAAACTTCACACCTCAAATGGTGTTCTACATTTTCCATCTGGCTTTAAATCTGAAGTGAATTAATTTGCATTATAAAATTTGAAAGCTATGTTTCAATTTAGATATTCTTTATTTAAAATTATGAGCTTAGGTGCTGAAGGACATGAAAATAAAGCTCTAAAAATCATAGACTTTAGATGGATTTTTATTATGTTGGCTAATCAAATCAGCCAACGAAAACCCTAAGGATCACAATGGTCCAAACCACAACCAATCATAGGAATGGCACAGGACCTGGTCGTGTTTTGTTCCGTTGTGTGCAGGGTCACCATGAGTCGATGGCCAACTCCACAGTAGCTAACAACAACAACATATTATCAATGCAAACACAGAAATTATCACATGTCCTCACTCTCTCTTTGCAATCCACACCCAAGGCCTATGGCATTTATTTCCAAGGCCAAGAAATACAGATGGGCTGATTTCTATATCTGCAGTAAATGCACTCTCTAGTAGGAAAAACCACAAATTTTTCGGTGTCTTAAGAAGGCACGCAAAACAAAGTACAGAAGAGACCTTTGGCATATTTTTAGGAAAAGCAGGTAGCAATTTGGCCACACAACTGTTGGGTTTCCTCACTGAGACCAAGTATTTAGTACACAGAGCAACCAGGCAACCCAGATCTCCTCTGGGGATTGCTATTATAAATATAGCTGCCTATATACTTAGCAACCCAAAGCATTCCACACTAAATGAAAGAGTCTGAGTCTTAAAGGAATTTTCTAACAGTTAAATTCCAGTTGGTTTCATTTAACTCAGAAAGTATTTATTGAGTGCTTATTGTATATCTAGCATGGTAAAAGTTGGAAACAACATCCTTAAAAACTTGTAGAAAAGCCACTGAAGTTGGTTTTCAAAGGATGCAGCATTTCTCGTTTCTCTGTTTTGAGATATAATGTGATAACTAGCTACCTTTTTCTTTCTAATGAGATCAAAGAAACCAGTCAGGAAATGTTAAAGGGGTAGCCTCTAGGTTCTACTGAAATATTACATTAATACTAGAGCTGAGAGGTAAAGAACATAATTCTTGACAAACTCCTTAGCTCACCAGCTCCCCCGACCCCAAATGACATGTCTATATGTTAACTGAGGAGCTCCAGGTCAAAATAGCAGGACACTTTCATTTCATGCAACAGTCTTTTCACTTAGCTCCCAAGACTTGGGAAAACAGTGTTGACACAGTTATTCACACAGAGAATTAATTGCTTTTATAGGTTGGGATGGTGCTGTTTCAGGAGGAAAAAGAGGGACCTTGATTCAGGGCAATGTAAGGTCTTGGCAGCGTAAAGGCATTTGTAAGAGTTGTCTGAAAATACTGTGGTAAAGAAGTCCAGAAGGAAGCAAAAGGCTTATATAGCATCATGGTTTAAAGCACCTGCACCTATATAATCTTACCAGTTTTTACAGTGCCATTGTTATAGGAGCACTCAGCTATTTAAACCGGAAAAATGATGCAACAAATAAAGCTTCCATGATAAATGATATTCAACCTTAAAACTGACCACATATAAAAAGAATAACAGTTCAGGCAGTTATTTTGAAAATTTTACCCTGTATATATATTTTTAAATGAACCATTTCTGATGTCAGTAGATGGCACTAGTGCTATATAAACCAAAACCAAACCAAACCTGCTGTCAGGTCCATTCTGACTCATAGTGACCCTGTAGGACAGAGTAGAACTGCCCCATAGGGTTTCCAAGGAATGGCTGGGTGTATTCAAACTGCCAACCTTTTGGTTAGCAGCTGAGCTCTTAACTACTGTACCACCAGGGCTCCAATGGTATACAGTAACGAGCAAATTTAATTTCTTTTGCTCCCGTCTAAAAAGAGATATTCTCTTTTATTTAAACTCTGAGGTAGCCAAAGAAATTACAATATAAAATCCTGATTTTTCTGTAAAGTTAAATAATAATAATAGAACACAGCAAACCCCACCCTGGACTGGACGGTGGACTGCTCTAAGCCAACTCGTATAAATACTTTGTCACATGATGGACACATTGTGTTTCTTGCCAGTAGGAATGGTGCCTACCAGAAGGCGTCACATGAGCCTCTGTCCCGAACGTCATAATAAAAATCAATGGAGCAAAGTAAAACAGAAACTGGAGACAGAAAAGGAATACAAATAAAGAAAATACATGAAAAAATCATCAGTAAAGGTAAAGAATCATAATTGGGTGACAGAAGAAACATTCTGGAAAAAAAAAATCAAGGAACAACCATTTGGGAAGGGGAGTTATTAAGCAGATTCAAATCAGAGGGAGGAGTCCGGGGTACCTGTGAATAGCTGCAAAGAGGTCTTCTGTGGTCCTGGGTCTGCTGGGGGCCATCACCTCATCACTCCCTTCTTCCTTGAGGAAGTCGCAGGCCTCTGAGGACGAACCCGCTGCATCTGTCTCCAGCACCCCAGCTAAACAGAGAAGCAAACGTGCAAACTCGATGCATAAGGCACCTGAGTGTCAGCCGAACTCGTCACATACTCTTCCCTGCCATTCCCATCAGTGAGAACCCAGGAGGTGTGTGTGTTGGGGGCGGGGGTGGTGGTCTGTAGTTCAGTATCTTGTAAGGATGGGGGTGGGGTAGGGGGAAGCGACACTAGGCAAACTCACTTTTTTCTGGTAAAGCATCAAACTCATGCTGAATCTCTTTTAAATTTTCTTCTGACCTTTCTTTGCTGCTCTTCAGATGGGAGATTACAGATTGCTACTTAATATCCAGCATGCTGCAGACCACCCCTATTTTCTGCCATTCTATAACTCCTTTCTTTAGCCTACTGCTTGGATCTTGATTTTTTAAAAAATTTATAAAATGCAAAGTTGCTAACCTAACATGTGAGGCAGCGCAGGAAACCCACATACTTTTAGCTTAAACTGAATCTCATCGGATCTACTTCGGCTCCATGTGTGAACATTCAACAGCCGGAGCTGCCTCAGCCACGTATGGCCAGAGAGGAACAAGAGAGCAAAACCCAAACTTACCCCCTGCATCCTCCTGAGACAGGCGTCGCTCCTCACTGCCCACACCATCCGCGCCGCTCTCTGTGCCGCTGCCTTCATCGGAGGTGCTGGGCTCTTCCTGCTTGGGGGCTGGCGAGGCATTGGGCTGTACCATGGGGGCATCGGCTTCCCCTCTGTCAAGGGACACAGATCCTGCAGCTCCTCCCTCAAGAAGTGAGCTGTCCGAGTCCAGCTCATCAGAACCGGGTGTGGCTGCAGAACTCTCTTTTGCCTCCTTGCTGTGCACAGAGTCCACCTCTCCCCTTGCCGGGCTGGGTGTGTCTCTGAAGGCTTCACTCACGTTCGCTGTGTGCTCCGCTCTGAAATCTCTCTGAGGAGGTGGCACCACAAGGAACAGTTTGGGCTTCTTTGAAATAGGAGGCGGCTTCCTGCTGGGTGAGGAGCCATGTGGCTCCGTTGGCAAACCGGGCTGCTCCTGGACCAGCGCAGTCTTGAGGCCAGACTGCGCCTTTGCGCTCTGCGTAGTGGCCCCGGCTGCCACCTCAACATCCGTCCCTGGAAATGAAGCTCCAGAGGTCTGGGTCGGCTGTGCTCCATCTCTGCGGCTCTGAAGGCCGACACGCTCACCTGCACTGTCGTGGTGACCCTGACTCGCGCTCTTGGCAGGAGCTGGAAGCAAGTCCTTTGCGGAAGCAGTCTGGCTTTTACTCTCCATTTCATTTATGCTATTTTGGGATTTCAGGAAAGCAGATGGCTTAAAATGATACTGTGGAACAACCAGAGTTGATTTTTCCTGAGATATTCTTTCAGGTAACAGTGATCCCTCAGTTCCTGAGTTCTTTTTCACCGGCCTCAACTGTACCATCTGTAATGCTTCGGTGGTTATTACGGGCATAGGTGGTCTAGTGCGCTCCTCCTTGTTATAAGGCTGTTTAAAGGCATCACAGGAGGAGCCTGGCTGGTTAGATTGTTTGAAAGAAGGCCTGGTGCCTTTCATCAATTTGGGATCAAGAGGTGGGGCAGGTGGTGGAACTGAAGAAGGTAAGAAAGGTGGAGGAGATGGAAAGGAAGCGGATGGATCTGGAGGAACGCGGCTAAGTGACGTTGGGGGAGGAGGAAAGCATGCCTCAGTTGCGGAACAGAATGGAGCTAAAACTTCCAGTGGCGGAGGGGGTAAGATGGGAGAGTGAGGCAGAGGAGAGCTCCCCGAGGAATCTGCTAGAGGAGGGGGAGGAGGCAGAAAAGGAGACTTATCAGCAGGACACGGAGATGGAAGAGAAGGAGGAAGAGCCACCGATAAATCCAGTTTCTTCATAGTTCCACTTCCTTCAGTAGAAGTATTAGAAGAAAGAGACGTTGAAGATGAAGAAATGGATACTGAGGATATCAGAGAGGACTTCCTTTCTGGCACCTTGGGCTTGGCCTTCCCCTTCCCATTTGCTGGTGACACTGACTTCAAAAACACAGACACAGGGGTAAGGGCTGTGGGTGTATTGGACTGGCTGGAGTACCCACTGGATGGAGAAGTGACTCTGTGTGACTTTTCTGGGGACGTGATCTTTGGTTTGACTGAACTACCAGGCACTTGAGGCATTGTAGCCCTAGACCCATCTTGGATGTGGCGAACTGGCCCGTTTCCAGCTGCTGCCCCACTGCTGGCGGAACACGCCCCTCCCGGGTTCCCCGGGTCTTCTTGCACACCCGTGTAATCAATGTAATAACCCCAAGGGTCCGTGTACTCTGACTTGAGGCTGCTCGTGTCGCTCTGCGACGGTGTGACCCCACACAGGGAGTACACGTTGGGGGTGGTGGCCGAAGTCATGCTGCTGCTGGCACTGACCGTGCTCTGGCTGCGGGAGCGGGGCAGCCAGGGCTCTTCAAAGTCACTGCAGGGGCTCTGCGAGGGTGAGCTGCCCTCCTTGCACTGGAGGTTCAGCTGCAGCGAGTGCTGGAGCGTGGCAATCAGGCTCTCATTTAGCACCTGCCCGTTAGACTGGACGCCCTTCTTGGGAATCCTTCGGAGGGAGTCAGTCCGAGAGGGTGGCAGTGGAGGCTTCTTTGCTTTCTTCAAAGAGATGCTTCGAGAAAGGGATTTATCCTGGTAATTTGGCCCATCTGCTTGGTTTTTCTGAGCTCTTCCATCAAAAACATTGATCACACTATGTCTGGGGTTCTCAAAGCCATCCCTGCTATTGCACAGATTCCGCGATCCGTGTCCAGAGCCTGTGTGCACAGGTGTGTAGTAGCCGTTGTGGTCCACTGAGCACAGGGACCTGGTCTCCTCTTTGTCTGATGTTTGGTCTAAGCTGCAGCTGCTCAGGTTACTGACAGAAGTGGAGTAACCAGGTGCTGCAAACCGTGTTTTCTGTGGGGAAGCCCTCCCATTACCTGAGGCTTGATATTCCCAGGGCTCCATGCTGCTGTGCATTCTGCCTCCTGAATAACTCGACTCACTCTTGCCGTCCACTTCCTGGGGATGGCTTGGGAAGCTCAGGTTGTTTCTACAATCATATGCCCCAGCTTGGGACCCATTCTCTCTATTTGCTGGGGTACTTAGAGAGCCCATTGAGTCACAGTGGGACAACAGCGTGGTGGCATCAGGGGAACTGGTATCTAAGGCGGCCTGTGAAAGGATGGTGGAGTGACTCTTATCCCAGTGGCCACTGGAAGACTGATGACCTTCTTTTATAGCATGCCTGGAGAGGCGATGGTCTCTGGGTCTTACCTTTGCATACGATGAGCTGTCCAGTGGCCCTGAACTCCGAGCAGTGTGAATAACAATCACTTCTGAAGAGGAAGAGAGTGTGGCGTTCGGGATGATGCTGGTGGAGTAGGTCGCGTGAGGAGACACCATGCATGCTGGGCTGGTTCCGTTTTCACCCTCGAAGTGCCTCAGCTCCTGAGATTTGGGCCTGAGAAGTGTCCCAGTCCTCGAGGTACCTCCCATGTGTCCTAAGGTCTCATCTACCTGTGGATGACCCCTTTGGTAGGAGAAAGTGCCGTCTGTGTCTTCTGCAGGGCCCAGGGCACCCAGCCTTGACTCGAGGAGCTGCACATTTGCCCTTGCTCCAGAGCGTGGAAGACTGTGGAAACCAGCATCGCTGCTGAGGCGAGAAGGGAACACAATGCCTGCAGAGTCGCTCAGCACAGACATGTTCCCAGAGGAGCCTGAGAGATGACTCATCTGGGCGGCAATGCCTTGTCCCTTTTGTGCCCTGATTCTTCTCATTGAAGGTGGAACGACTTTCACTTCTTCGGTCTGGCAGCTGGAGTCCCTGGTTTCGGAGCGCTGCCCTGCAAACCGAAGGCTGTCAAGCCTTTCTAGTGTAGAATGGTGGTCTGGGGTATACATCGAGTGACCCCCAACATCCTCTTGGCCAGTGCCCGATGCTGGAGATAAAGTAGAAAAAGGCTTGTTATCTGAAAATAAAAACCATACTCTCTCTCCCTTCTGACTCTATTTAAAAAAAAAAAAAAACTTTTCTACTTGACCTGGTTTTTCTCCTGTAAGCAATAAAATGGGTTTAAATGGCTCCTGATAGCTCCTAAAATAAAAACCCTTATTATGAATTTCATGTACTTCTCAATTTGTATTTCAAATCCTATAGGTGGAATTCTCAGGCACTGCCTTTGAGATCAAGGCCCCTGAGTGCCCTGTGGAGGGTAGACTTTTCACCTAACTGCCTTTCTGTATGACTTCAAAGTAGCCTTTTACCCACCGGGATGAGGACCTACTCTCTCGCCCTGACTGCAGGAAGTATCCGTCAAGCACTGACTTTCTTTCCCAACGGCAAGCGAATGTGGTAGTTGAACAATAGGGCTATAAGATTTCTTTTATGAGGGATATTGGCATAAAATGGTGCTAATTACATTAATTTTTTATGTAGGAAGAAACTCCTAAGAAAAAGAAAAATGATTTACAGGCCCATCTGTGTTTCAAATATGTCATTATCCATCTTAAGCCATTATCATCTGTCTGTTGGTGACATTCAACATTCAACAGCAATCTGTTGTGTTCTGGTGGAGGAAAAGCAGCAGGACCTGATCTAGTGAACATTTCCTCAGATGATGGCTGTTTGTTTCTTGGAGCTTTACCACCACACAGAGAGTAGTGTGTTAAAAAATGAAGCACGAAGAACAAAGAGGGAAGTGGATGAGAAAAGACACTAAGTGTAGATAAACATTAAGAGTTCGAGCTACCCAGGAAAGAACAGAAGCTTTAAGGGGGAAAAAAAAAAATTATGAAGCCAAGAAGTTTTCCAGTGTTACTGGGGGGTGGGGGGATGGGCGGGGATTGACCCATTCATAGTAATTATAAGGACAAATTAAACCTTTACAAATAGTAGCAAAAAAAACATACTTTCCTCTACGTTGTTTTCATCCAAAAAGGACCTGAAGTATGTCAGGCATGGGCTTCGCCAAGTAATGCTAGTTGAGCACCCGTCTGCGCCACTGTGCAGCTAGACAAGGACACTAGGAGTGATGGGGCCTGAGGTCTTCCTCTTTTCCTCCTCACATAAATTAACCATTGTGTGGGACATGCCCCTGACTGGCTATAAAGCCGCTTGCTCATTCAAACAGCAAAGAATACTATTAAAATGGTGGCAATGCATTTATATCAACAGTAGAGGAAAAAGGCTCCCTAGCATAAAGACCTTTCCTTCATCCTGATTTGGAAGAATCATTTTTATTACTGGATCTTCACCAAAGATATATTTGGATATATTTCCTCCCCCTACCATCTGCCAATACAACTCACTGAACACACACATACAAACTCACGCGCGCACAAATGCATGCACACACACAATGTTCTCTCCTCAGAAAGAGGGGAAGTGGGCAAAAGGGCAGAAGCAGAAGAAAACTCCACTTTGAGGAAAGAAATTTAAAGGTGAAAGTTTTAGCCATTTGGTATTTTAGAAGATGAGAAGTTGACTTGTATGGTTTTATTAGCTTGTACAAGTTAAATGCCAAACATTCAAGATACCTTATTTCATCCAACAATGGGTTTTAGTTTCTTTTCTTTCAAAACTGAAGTGGTTTTTATATCGGTTAATGATAGATTTTTAATTGTCTTTGAATGCTATAAAGTCATAATACTTTCAAGTAACATTTCTGAATGTGAAACCATTCTGAAAAACAGCAATGTAATTCTCTCTCTCTTTTTTTTAAGCCTTTTACCACCTACAGCCGAGTATAAGGAGTCCTAGTGGCACAATAGTTAAGCACTCGGCTGCTAACCAAAAGGCTGGCGGTTCAAACCCACCAGCCACTCTGGGAGAAAGATGTAGCAGTCTGCTTCTGTAAGATTACAGCCAAGGAAACTCTAAGCGGCAGTTCTACTCTGTCATATAGGGTAGCTATGAGTCATGATCCACTCAATGGCACACAACAACAACACAGAGAAGTATAATTTTCTTATTAAGATAATGTGTCTTCTAAACATCTTCAAAACTATATGAAAAACAACTCATACATCATTTATCATAAACCAGTTGCCGTCTAGTTGATCCCGACTCATAGCAACCCTATAGGACTGCCTGATAGGGTTTCCAAGATCTGAACTGCCAACGTTTTGGTTAGCAGCCAAACTCGTAACTATCATTTATCATAGGGACCAGCAAAATTCTATTTTCCGAACACATCCTCCAATATTTTCACAGTATAAAAAGTTTCTAATAATACAGGAATCAGATGAATGCTATATGGACTATGGTTAAAGAACAAAATATATGGACTACGGTTAAAGAAGAGCACTGGTGGTGTACTGGTTAAAAGCTTGGCTGCTAACCAAAAGGCTGGCAGTTTGAATCCACCAAGCTGCTCCTTGGAAACCCTATGGGAGTTCTACTCTGTCCTATAGGGTCGCTGTGAATGGGAATCAACTCAATGGCAACGGGTTTGGTTTTTGGTTTTGTTTTGTTTTTTTTAATAGTTATAGTTAAAAAACAGGAAAGCAAACTGCAGACTCATGCAGACCACTCAGGTGCTACTAAAAATATTGACGGGGTTTATCTGATTTTAAAACATAATATAAAGAAACAATTATGTAACAATTATATAATACAAGGGATTTCCCATTAAAAAATAAATAAATATAATTAAGATGAACAAAATCTACAAGTTAGCTTACTAAAGGTATAGTATATGAGTGTTTAAAAAGTCTCGTCAGGTCTTCAGTAATGTTCTTGGTGTGAACTATCAGAAATTATTCAAAACATTACTCTAGAAATTCCTTTAAATAAGGCCTTTTCTGCTTGGGGAAGATATAAGGAGACAAGTTCCAGGAGTACTCAAATGATTAGGTAGCCAAATAAAATACTATATACCAAGAAAACAATCCTAATCTGAGTCTAAAGGATTATACCTCACAACATGATGTTCAAATACATTTCTGCCTAGTTTTAAGACAATAAGATTTAAGAACAAGTTTGAAATACTGTCCCATTCATGTAAATGAAGGCAATAAGTTATAAATAAAAGTTATCAGATATGCACTGGAAGTAAACAGCAGGGATCATACCTTAATTTCAAAACATTAAATAATTATTTAAGGATTTCTAAGTAAAAAACTGCATATAATTGAACATAACATAAGCCTGTAATTCATGGAAGCACCTCTGTTTGGTCAGATTTTTAAAAATCCAAAGCATCTAGCACTGTGGGGAGTATTTAGCAGACATGGGTGCATTTTCCTCGAGTGCCTTTCTTTCAGATAGTCATTTCCTTTTTAATCTCATTTGTTTCACTCAGCTGTTATTTCCCTATGCTTTATATCCAGAAGAAGACTAATTATCAAAGAAAATATGAAGTATCTATTTTTGATAATCAGTTAGGTAATATAAGGCTTCTAAACCAGACTTTCTGTAAGTACAAAGTATCGAGAGAAAGGGCAAGGACAACCAGAAGTCTGGAAGTGAATAGCACAAATATATGATTTCTTTGCTAAATGAAATTATATTCAAATGTTATTCTCCCTCATTCTATCCACCAATCCTCCAACTAACCTATCTATAAAACTACAGTCATTGTCTAGTTGTCTGTATTTTTAACTAGCTCTAACTAGATACAGGTGTCTCATTGACCTCTAGCTGTGATCCAGGGCATGACATCCACTGTGAACTACCTCACGCCTGGTAACAGTAACTACGTATGATGTGGGGAAAGGTATTTTCCTTCGTCCAGCATTAGTGGTAGTTCTTCAGTTAGTTAATGTCACATGAAAAAGAGAAATGAATGTGGGCTCCAGGGACTCAATCACTGATTTTAAAAATATTAAAATTACAAAGATTCAATTAACCTGGCTGGCCAAATCATTCCAATAAGATCAAAGAAGCAACTGAGTTACTGGCTACATACTGATTAGTTCAGAGATAAAAAGGATAACATTCTTAACTCTCAAGTTCTAGAATTTCTAGAGAAATGTGGGCTTCAGGGGCTTATTAAAAATATTAAAATCACAGAAGATAAGATTAACCTGGCTGGCCAGATCACCCCAATAAGATCAAATAAGTAACTGAGTTACTGGATACATACTGGTTGGTTCAGTGATAAAAGTAAAAAATACTTATAGAATACTTACATTATGTATATATATCTCACATACTTTGGACATGTTATCGGTAGGGAGCAGTCCCTGGAGAAGGACCTCATGCTTGGTAAAGTAGAGGGTCAACAAAAAGGAGGAAGACCTTCAGCGAGATGGACTATGGCTACAACAACGGGCTCAAGCATAACGATTGTGTGGATGGCACAGGACCAGGCAGTGTTTCGTTCTGTTGTACATAGGGTCGCTATGAGCTGGAAGCGACTCAATGGCACCTAACAACAACATTTTTACCTGGGGGCCAATCTATCCTTATCCTTGCAGTACAAAACCATCCCAAGCCTATCTATCTTGGCCAGAGGGCCACTTAAAGTGTAGCCTACCCCAAACCATCAATCCTGTTAACTTTCAAAGGGACTCAGCTACCTATCCTTACAGTCAGTCACTCCTTTAGGTTAAGGCAAATCTCCTTAAAGACCAGTTAAAATATAAATCTTACCTGAGTGCTATAATAAATGAATCTATTAAATATGTATTGAATATATTAGTACAGATTAATTTCTCAAATTAGTTAGCTGTCACCTAAAGGAGGAAAAAAAAATGTTGGAAACAATGGGACACAGCCAGGTAAGTTTTGAGGTGAGGGAGGAGGCTACACGGGTGTCCTTAGCGCACAGGTTTAGGGAAGGTGTCTGGAGACCTTGTGCAGCCAAAGGAGGGCTGGCCCACTAAAAGGCAGCAACGCATGGCACATGAACCAGACAGAGTTCACAAATCCTGTGGATGCATCTTGCCTGTGTTTCTAATAAACCCTTACATTATGGGATAAAGCAAGCACCTGTATGTCATCTGGATCACTGGAGCTTTTGAAGCAGGCACAAGGCAAAGCATTGGTATTCTTTTCTGATTGTTGCTGTACTACTGAAAGCAAAGTATATATACTGTAGAATTTGATGTCAGTAAGAGAAAATGCCCTCCCTAATACAAGGTATTTAAGCCGGGATGTGTGGAAGGGGGACACATAGGAACAAGGTCTCTAGCACCTGCAAGCTGAAATGCTGCCTCTCAAGGTGCTATAACAGATATGTCACTATTGTTAGGATAAAGTGGTTTTGACTAAAAGACTAATAGCCAACTTCAGAAATAATGATCCTGAGTTTCATGGTTAAAAAAAACAGCTGCTGTGAGTTGATTCCAACTCATGGCAACCCTATGCACTGTAGAGAAGAACTGTGCGCCATAGGTTTTCATGGCTGTGACCTTTTTGGAAACAGATTGCCGGGCCTTTCTTCCAAGGTGCTTCAGTGTTGGTTCAAACCGCCAACTTTCTGGTTGGTAGTTGAGCGCTTAACTGCTTCTGCCAGGGATTCCACGTTCCACGGTTACATAGCTTCAAAAGTGAATAAAAAAATACCAGGTAGCTACCTGGTATTCTCTATACAGAGTTAAGTTGATTGGTTGACCAAAAAGGCAAATTTCAAGACAGGTGGTATTATACAATAATTAAAACTGTGATTACATTTACAGTAGTACCAAGTACTAAGTGCTTCATGTGTATAAATTCACGTAATCCTCAAACAGTCCTATGAGGTAGGTTCTACTGACACCATCACTCTCATTTTTCAAGTGAGGAAAGAGGCTCAGAGAGGTGAAGAAACCTGCCCAAAGTCACCCAGAGAGTGAGTGGCAGAGTCAGGATGATGCAAACCTAAGCTGTCTGGCACCAGAGTCCCTGCCCCTGACCCACTAAGCCACATGGCCTCTGCAGACATTCCCGACGGACTCCCTAAAGAAGCGGGGAGAGGAAGTTAATACAGAAAGTATAGAAAGAGGAGAGTGAAAGAACTGCCCAAAGCACTGATGAAATTAAGAAACAAAAGGAGAAGTGAAAACTGAACAACCCTTTACACCAGACCCCCAAGTTTTTGTTTTCCATTTTTATTACAGGTTTAAAATTACTGAATCAAAAAGCTCTGAGGTTGTTTCATCGGAAATACATGAAGGCAACATCTAACATAAATGCAATGAGTATTTCCTATTATACTGACATTTATTAATAATCCTAGACCGCTGTTTCTCTGATGACAAAATGCCACCAGCATTGTCAGTATAACTGGTGAAGTCCAACTTCATCATCTGAAGTCCTAGAATGAGTTTTCAGTTTCTTGGAAAATTAAGATCTAAATGAAAAATAAATTTAATTGCAGAAATACCCAATGTTTGAGGTACAGAGTGATGATGACATTAACTATAAATTTCTATCATCCCAGTTTAGAGTTTTCATACAAGCTCTTTCCCCTACTTTCTCTCCCAAATTCAATAAATCATCTGCATGGGGTGTTAAGATTTGTACCCCATGCCTCATTCAGGAAAGAAGCTGACCCTTTAGGGCAATCGACGGCTATCAGAATGTATTGATTTTATAAGCACCATAAATGAGGTTAGCATAGTAATGCCAGGCAGCAATGAAGGGCAACAGAATACAGTTCTGATGAGCCATACCTAGCTCCTTCTGTATGTTGTCAGGGACTCCTGTAATAGTCTTTCTCCTTTTGACTTTCTTCGGTCGTCTTACCAGAGTGTCTGTGTAAATTAGAGACCGCCGAAGGCTGGCCTGGCGATCGAAATTCTCCCCTAATGTAGAGTAGCAGAACAAGCAAAGCAATGTTACTTTCAAGCAAGCTGACACCATGCACTTTCTTCCAGAAGCTTGTTGTAAAATGATAAGAAGGTATTAATAATGATGTTAGCCAGTCATATGATGATGGATGCTGAAGGGCAAAAAAGGAAAGAAAGCACATTAGCATCATAAGGCTGTTTTCCAGTTTCTACTATGTGTATGTCCTTCCCAAGGCAGCCCCTTAATCTCATTTCAAATAAGTCAGAGTAGCAGGTGCAAATTTGTTAATAACACACTGGAAGAGTGATTCTGTGTTATTTAAAAAACAGATGATTGTGGCAGTGTTTCACACAGGTCCTCTGTTCACAGAATACCTCCTTACATCAGTGTGTATACAGTGATGGCAATGAATATATTTGATTCATGTCATTCTACAGAGACCAATATAACAACTTGTTCTATGTGATGAAACAAATAACTAAATCAAGAGTTCTGGGATGAAGAGCCTTTTCTTTCAATCAAGGAGGCTGACAATTTGGATAGACTGTGGATATTTTTATGGTGTGAAAAATACCTATAATGAAAAAAAGCCTTATAATGATAAAGTACTTTTATCATAATGAGACCCAGTAGCACTGCTGTTGTTAAAACCGAACTGCTTCTTGCTGTTTCATAATTCCCCTTTTAAAGCTGATCTTCATTCAGACATTTCAGGTGATGTTGCAATCAAACCTGAAATGTCACAACCACTTTTTTTTTTTTTTTTTGCCTTTCTAGTGTTTCCTAAAAACCAAACCTATTGCCATCGAGTCGATTTTGACTCATAGCAACCCCAGAGGACACAGCAGAACTGCCCCATAGGGTTTCCAAGGAGTGGCTGGTGGATTTGAACTGCTGAGCTTTCGGTTAACAGCTGAGCCCTTAACCACTGTGCCACCTGGGCTCCTAGTATATAAGCTTGTGTAATTAACACACCATGTGAAACCATAAAATTTGTAACAATCTCAGTTATTGATCTGCATTAAATTACTTGACAGATTAATTAAAGTTTTGCAGTAGTGACCTTTTTAAATGGTCAGATTATTCTCTTCAAAAGAGATATCTATATGCATATACGTGTGTGTATATATACACACACACACACAAATTACATACTTCTGTCATCCTTATATAGTTAAGAAAAGTATAAAAACATTCACTCTTCTTCAGTGTTGACACACATTCAACGTAGATATGTTGTGAACAATGCAGCTTCTATTTTAATAGGAATAAGTTGTAAATAGAATCTTATCTAAGCAAAACAGAGGATAAAAGATCTGAATGGTCAACACACATTTTACCTACTGAAAACAATCTTTAAAAAATGCTTGCCAACTTCCAGACACTTGGAAATTTGTTCATAGTGGAAAAAAGTAGAAATGACTAAGAGAAGACCCTGAAACACCAAAAGATACCATCACCATGATAACTGGATCACTATGGGCAATGGCATAAATGGTGCTTGTTAGGAGCAAGTTGTGACTTCAACGGTTCATTAGTTCTCTGCAGTAAAGGAAAATAAAATTCTTCCTGTCAAATATATTAAGAATAGAAAAAACATTAATAAAAAGTTGCATTTAGTCTCCAGCTTTAGTTCCTAAAGAAGAACAAAAGACAAAACCATCCAAGCTCCAAGGAATTAGGAAGCAAACCATAAGAAGATGAACAGCTAAGACACAGACCACTAAAGTCACCAAACTCTCCTTGCTTCATGACCTAAAAAAAAACTGTCTTCCTTGCTAGACTATACACTTCTTGAGGGAAGGGACCATGATCATGCACCTTAGTATCCCTGATGGCATTCAGCTCAACGCCTGACACAAAGTAGTTACTCAATACTATCTGTTGACTTGAAGTGATTCATTCCCTTGCACTGAAAAACAGCATCACTAGTCATGGTTACCATTTAGAATAAGCTGGCTAGCTCAACATCACTACAAAGCCAGTTTATAACCTACAAATAGTTTAAGTATGTTTACCCACTATTCTTCTGTTGCAGGTGGAAGAGTTGTTAATTTACATGGCAAATTAAGGAGCATACTTGCATGTACATACATTTTATTTTATGTATTTTTTTTCCTCAACTCTTAGAACATGCTGACTCCCCAAAGGACTATAACTAAAGGGATTAAATCAATTTTCAAGCCAGAAACTCATGGTGTTAATGTTCTATCTTTATGCTTGGTAGGCACTCTGGCTTTGAAATAATACATTTATTGGTATTTTTCCTGTTGAACTCTATTGAAAATCAAACTACAGCATCAATGCTCACCCAAATAAATGAGCGCATGACAATTTCCTACAGGAAGCTACACTTTTATTTCAAAAATCTTTTGAGCTTTACAAATGTATAAAAAGCAGGAAGCTGTATAATCTATGTCAGTTCAACCACCCAAACTAAAATTTTTATATTCAATTCTCCTTTATACTGGAATATTAGAAACACTAATCCCTTTACAAAATACCTGTGTGTGTGTGTATGTACAAAGAGATCCAGAAAATGGATCAATAAATATACAATTAGCTATTATATTTAATTCCTACATTTCTGCAAAATGTCAACTCAAAAGTAAATTACATGTTGACATAAAGCATAGTGCTCGTTTCTTAATTGTCATTCACTTTTCCTGTATGGTATTTTAAAGGCCTTCTTTTAAACTCTACTCAATTGCTTTTAATGTGTGTTCACCTGTTCCATGCAATTCATATCCACTTAGTCATTAAACAGGAGAGAATGAAAGCTCAAAGAACACCATGTTCTGTCGTGACCATGTAGATCATTGCAAATAATCCTTTATCCCTGAAACTCTAGTTACTCTATTTTAAATTTCCTAATCTCATGATAATACATTTTATCCTAATTCCATTAAGGATTATCACATTTCATAGCATAATCTTCTTATCTTGTAATATTATCTCTGAGGCATTTAATCATATATAATGTAATTACACTTCTACATTTAATCAATCAAATAACAGAATTAACTTTCTTACAGGAAATATATGCCCATATATTTAATCTAGCAATAAAAATTATACTTAGTTCTATAACATAGCTACAAAATAGCTATAATCTTTAGAATGTGACTAAGTATAGGAAAACACATTTAGAAAGATCAACAATGTTATCTGTAAAGCAAATGAATTAAAAATGACATTATTTTCTTTAAGGCTTAAGAAAAACAAATGTGGAAAAGCACACATGGAATTGAAAATAATTCACTGTACTTATTTATGATAAATTTCTATGGAATTCAAAATACAGTTCTAAATGTAATTTTTAAATAGGCTGTAAAGTTTTTTAAAAATCTTCAGTAACTACCAAAATGTTATTAGCCCCTTAAAAACTCACTAAATGCCATGGCAAAAAGCTCTCTATCAGCAGTCGACAGCAGTAGCTTTAGAAGCACAGCAAGAATGCTGTAGGTTTTCATCCTAATATTTTATGAAAACTTACCCTTACTTGTCTCCTGATGGTTTTAGATTCTGAACCTATGGGCCATCTTTTGTATGGACTGATTATCAATGATGTAATTATTAGTTATCTATATCTCTTGAAAAGACATTCTAATGGTTGATGCTAAAAATTCTTAACAAGTCTATTTTGCACTTTGCACACTGTACAAATCACTAGCCCAGCCCCTTTGTGGGTTATAGAAGCGATAAAGCAGACAATTTTGCTATCTTTTAACAGTTCTTGTAAGTTTGTGAAAGATCATCTTTGAGCTTTATGTACTTTGTTATTTGTCACATTAATTATCACAGATGATTTAAGCCTGAGTATAATATTTCAAAAGAACTTCAATTTCAGGTATGGCAATCAATATTCACATTCCAACTTAACATATTCTAAAAATTTTATATTCTGTATGAGTGAGTTTTTACTTGATGATTTTGGAATTCAAATTATGGATATCAAAATGTAAGTTTACCCTCCTCTAACATCTTTTTAAATAATATGTTTTTATAGTCATATTGTTACTTCAGTTAATATTTTTATTTCAAGTAATTTTTCTATTTTTATACTTGAGAAAATAACATAAGAAAATCTATCATTCAGAAATATAAAACTATTATCATTTCTTCACTTCTATAAATGTTACTTAAAATAACCCTTTAAAAAAGCAAATTACTTAAAAAAGACACACTTGAGACACATCTTGAGCTGAATGGTTGAATCATCATGTTCTCTACACCAACCTTTGGTGGTAGTCTTCTAATCTCACAAGCCATACACATATTGCATGCACACATATATATGTCTTAGTATTGCCTTCATTAAACAAAGGTCATGAAGCCAGACCACAGCTATTTTCCTTTGATGTATAAACGAAATGCTAAGAGCGTATAACAAACGAAAAGCCATAGTCATTCTCCCAAGTACATTCTGACCCTGTCTGAATAGAAAGCATACCGGTTACGTTAATAGGAACCACATCAGCCTGGACTATTTGGGCTTGTTGTCGCATCTTCTCCTCTGGTGTTGGCAATGGAAGTGACTTGGTCCAGTTCGTTTGAGTATTAAGGTCAGAAAAGTCACTTGAGGTTGGTGTTTTAGGTCTCCTGATGGAAGTAAGTCTTTCCTCTTCTGACGAAGAAACAGAACACTACAGGGGGATAAAAAGAAAGAAAAGCCATAGCGTGTAAATATCTGGTAGACACATTTAAAAACACATTACTTGTTTAAAAAAAAAAAAAAAAAAAAAAGAGTGATTTAAACCAAGCCAGAATAATCAGTCACCTTTAGGACCAGAAGCAATGATCTCGTCATCTTGAACGTGATCGATCCATAATATGTATGATTCACACTGGCCTTAAGCTCTAAACTATGAGGATGGCAAAAGGTTTTGCTGACCCGAAAAATCTTAAAAGTTTTTCCTGTTTTTCCCATATTTACTGTGGTTAGAAAGCATGTGGATTTAGTCCAACCTCAGAAGCCCTGGGAAACATCATGGCCGTGGCCATCGTGTCTATTCTTATTAAAATTTAGTTTTACTCAAAGTAACTTCTAGCTTCAATCTTATTTCCTTTAGTCTCTGACTCTGAGGGACATTTCTAAAATGAAGTAGCTATTGTTACTCAACAGTTTGTGCTTTTCTGAAACCACTTATATGGGAAAGAAAAAATCACTGTGAAATTGTTAAATTTATAAGAAGCTGACTAAAGCTCTGTACGGAGCCTTATCAGAATTCCATGGGAACATTTCTAACAGTGTCTGTTTTGATACAGATTAACATTCTAACTGAAGAGCCGTTCTTCAATACCTTTCTTCCCGTAACATCTTAAAAAGGCAAGAAAAGTTGCTTTGGCAAAGCATTTTATGACGGGCTTCAACATGGCCCCACAGCAGCTGGCTGTGTAACAAGAAAACTCTCAGAACTCAACATAAATGCAACGTGCTTAGCAAGAAGAACAACAAAAGGTAACTGACGATGGTGGGGAAATGGCAGTATATAATAGACAATAAATACATAACAATAGCTCTTCAAATGTAAAGCATTTAACTAAGCTACCGCTTAGGAAAATGAGGCATTTAAAAAGTTTTACTGGAGAAGAAAAAGTCAATGTATCTTCCCAAAGGGAACATTTGTGCAACTAGCACCCAGACCAATTCACACACCCCCATCCATACATCCCTAAATAAGGGTAACTGCTATCCTGACTTCTAACCAACAGCTTAGTTTTACCTGTATTTGAACTTTATATAAAGGGGACCATACTATACATTCTTACTTCTTTCCCTTAACATTATGTTTGGGAGGATTGATCTATTTCAAAAGAGCATGCTCTGGTGCCTTTCTGGATTTTTTACATGTTTTGAAGAGGACACAGGTAAGAAAACTTATAAGCGCATCAGCTAGAACACTCATGCACTTAGAAAAACACTGTCATCACTACGCACTGCTACCACTGTATTCATCATGCTGCACAGTATCTATATTTACAACTACAAGAGCTCCACAAATCTGAAAGGGACTACACAAGAGCTAAGGAAAATGGTTTGGTGTTGGCAATAGGGCCCTAGACTAGAATTTAAAGAACTGAGTCTATTCACTCTACACTTTACCAGTCTAGTGACCTTGGGCTGCTCCTGCATCTTAAAGTTTCCTTCACTGTAAAATGAGGCTATTCTGCCTATCCTCTGCAGTGGTTAAGAGCCTGGCTGCTAACCAAAAGGTTGGCAGTTCGAATCCACCAGCCGCTCCTTGGAAACCCTACGGGGCAGTTCTACCCTGTCCTACAGGATCGCTATGCGTTTGAATCGACTCAACAGCAATGGGTTGTTTTTTTCTCCCCCCAGTTTCCATATCCCACAGGGTCACTGTTAGGATCTAAGGAGATGATAAATTATCAGTTGGAAGTGTTTAAAACTGTTAAATATCATGGATACGAAAGTGGAGGTCATATGACTGTGACTGGAGAAAAGCAAAATCATGACAAACAACTTGTTTTTTTTTTTTCTTCTTTTATTGCAAGGAGACTACAGATAATAAAGGGATTGTGGAAATAAAAATATAAACTGACAATTAAAGAAACTCAATTTATAAACTAAGCAGATGTCACTGGCATCTTATTATGAAATGAAATTACACTATATCCATTAACGTTTGATACAATTCTGGTAAAGCTGTTACAACTCACATGGACCCTTAAAAGACAAAGGGATTTTTGAGTTGGCAACGGCAGCCAAACCATACTACTAGTACTACTACCCACTGTCGTGAAGTTGATTCCGACTCATAGCGACCCTATAGGGCAGAGTAGAACTGCCCCACAGGGTTTCCAAGGAGAGGCTGATGCATTTGAACTGCTGACTTTTTGGTTAGCAGCCAAATGCTTAACCACTGAGCCACCGGAGCCAAACCATACTGATGTTAAATTAATTATTTCCAGCCTTTTTGCAGTTGTGACACTGCTGTTAAGCTTAATTCACAGCATATATTCTCTCCCCCACCCTTAAGTAAAGGAGTCCTGGTGGTGCAAATGGTTAAGTGCTTGGCTGCTAACGGAAAGATTGGTAGTTCGAACCTACCCAGCCACTCCGTGAGAAAAACCTGGCGATCTGCTTCCATAAAGATTACAGCCAAGAAAACCCTATGAGGCAGTTCTACTGTCACATGGGGTTGCTATGAGTTGGAATTGACTGATGGCATCTAACAACAACCCTTAAGGTGCAGATACACACACAGAAATTAAAACTAATTTTCTCTGAGAATTTCACGACAGCGCATGCAAGAAGTCACATATGTGAGACTGAATCTCAATCTGGTAAGTTAAAAGGTTATTCCAGTTTTTGGATATAAACACTAATTTTTTTTTAAGGCAACATTAAAATATAGCATAGGAGTTTGAAAGGGGAAAAAAGCATATCTTGACCAAATTAAGTTTGAAAAGAAGGAAAAGTAAAGCTTCAGGGTGATGGTGCTACATCCTGCAGAGAGGGTTCCCTGTTCCTATGACGTCTGTCAAGGGTGACAAGTGAAGCACTGTTCTACCTTTACATGTGTCTCAATGGTGCTCATCAGCCCCAGTAACCTTCTTTTCTTTAGTTGACTGATAGGGTCAGAACTGATAACTATCACAATGAAACAGTACTTCACTGTTTCCTCTGCTGCCATGGGCAATCACCAGAGATTGCTCCAGTATGACAATGACAAAGATAATCCATTTTATAAAGTGCTTCTTCCCTTCCAAGAAAACTTCCCAGACAAACAGGGCACAGATAAAGTTATACGCAAATGGGAGTGTTAAATAGTACTACAATTTACTGAGGAAAAATAAAAAACCAGGAAGGCATAACTTCTGGAATAATACGGCTCCCTTCCCTCCCCGTGTTTATATACAGAGCAGACACAGAGGAAAAATTCCAGCATCTCACTGGCAGAACACATCATACTTACTCCATCAACATGGATATTCTAATGCTCCGGATTATTACATTAGCCTCTTAAACAGTCTCTGTGCTTCTGCCCTTGCTGACCAGCTCCCCCCATTCCTCTCCCACCCAAGTCTGTTCTCAACGCAGCAGCCAGAAGGATCCTTTTGAAATGTAAGTCCAGTCATGTCATTGGTCTACTCAAGCCTTCCTAAGTCCTTACTATGATCTACAAGGTGCACCAGCTGGCCCCATTGTTATCTCTCTGGCCTCATCTCCTACTATCCTTATTTATTCTACTTCAGCCACACCAACCTCCATGCAGTTCCTTGTACATTCCATGCACACTCCTGCCTCAGGGCCTTTGCACTTGCTGCTCCCAAGTACACCTGAAATGCTCTTCCCTTAGACATCCACACACATAGCACCCTCTTTTCCTTCAGGTGTTTATACAAAAATATCCTTCTTGTTGAGGTCTTACCTGTTTACCCTATTAAAATATCAACTTCTTCCCAACTTTTATCCCTCTTCCCTTTTTTTTTTAAAGTACATACTGCTAACATACATATATTTTACTCATCTTGTTTGTCTTCTCCCAAGAGAATGTAAATTCCATGTGGGTAGAGTTTTTGTCTGTTTTTGTTCTCTATTTCCTAGCTCACAGATTAGTGTCTAGCATAAGGCAGGCACTCAGTAAATATCTGTTGAATGAATTTTTTTAAAAAAAAAGGAAGGAAGGAATGTCTGTTGCCTAGTAATGATAATTTTTTTAAATCAGAATTCCATAGAAAGTTATTTCAGAATTTTGGTTACAAGAGTCACCATTTATTAACTGTTGTTATATGCCTGGTCCTGGGCTGCAGCTTTATAGGAATTATTACTTCATTTAATCTTCATAGCATCAGCTGCATTTTATCAATAAGGAAATGCAGACTTAGGGAAGTAAAGTAACTTTACTTTTGGAAAGTTCACAAGTGGGCAACTCAGTCCCAGCCTTAAAGTCTCCGCTGTTAAACAGTGTAAAATAACAACTTGGCAATATTTGCAAAAAATAATTAAGTTTTCTGGTCTAAAAACAAGACCCCCATTTATATCTCTAAAGAAGAACAGAATCTTTTTTAAATCTTTAAGAGTCTACAGTGTGGTATAATGGCTAGAACATTATACTTCAGAGTAAAAAATAGTATGTTACCAGCACTCTGGTTCTGTCATTTACCAGCTGGATGTTATAAGCAACTCACTTAATTTCTCTCTGTTCTGAAAACAGAATGACTCATGTAGTCTCTACACTCTCTATGCCCCTGGAATTCCTGAATACAGGTTGAATTACTTTTTTTTTTTTTTTTTAATATTGAGTTTTAAATTGACTGCCTTCCAGAACTTAAATGCAGTTTTGAAACCTGTCAATTGGTCAATAATGTTCATCAATATCCTACACCTTGATCCTGGAAGGAATGGAGAGTCACAAATGAAACTTATATAACCACAACTCCTTAATTTCCTTTCATTTCAAATTGCTTAATTTAGAAAGGGAGATCACCTTTTTAAACGCCAGCAGTTGCTTTGTGGTTTTTGGATGCTGTAAGTCCTGCTATGCTGAGACTGTTAAGTCTGGTCTGGAAGTCAAGAGGCTCCCACCAGATGGACAGTGTGGCCTGAAGTGTGGTTTCCTTGTCTCAACAGCCAAGCTACCCAACAGTGGGATTAACTGTGAAACACAAATTAACCCAC